AAGAAAACTTTATTTCTCCTCATTGAATAGCTTTGACATATATTTTTTAAAAATCAATTGCCTATGTAAGTGTGAGTTTATTTCTGGACCCTTTAGTGTGTTTTATTGATATATTTATTTATTTATCCTATGCTAATTCCACACCTACTTGATTATTGTAACTTTACACTACATTTTGAAATCAAATTGTATAAAATTCTCTACTGTTGTTGTTTTTTTTTTAGCAAGATTGATCCTATTCCAGACTTTTGTATTTCCATACACATTTTAGAATGGGCTTATCAATTTCTAAAAACAAATGGCTGGTAGAATTTTCACTGCGATTGTGTTGAATGTAGAGATCATTTTGGGGAAAATATGAACATTGTATAACTCTCTCTCTGTCTATGTCTTCTTTAGTTTCTCTCAGCAACGTTTGTTCAGTTTTATAGCTATTTAAAGCAGGAGGGTAAGACCGCTACCCATTACTCCATCATGACCATAGCCAGAAACAAATTGCTGATTCTTATACTTTAAACTCTACTCTTGTGCTTACCTCTCCTAGTGGCTTCATCAGTGTCTACAAAAATGCAACCTGTCTGCAAAGGGAGTTTCATTCAGAGAAGTGAGGCTTTCAGGGGCCCTAGGAAACCTTGCTCTGCTCAGACAGAGGGTTAGATTCTATCAGTTCAACTTTAATATTGCAACAACAGTTGCTATGAGCCATGTATCCTAGCTGTAGTAAACCCCGCAGTGATCATTTCTCAATGAGAACATTCTCTCCAGCCCCCAGACATTATATCCACCCCATTTGGACAAGTATTTCTGTTGGAATCCTGGTGTTTCTCTCTCAATATTTTAGATTCTCAATGTTTCTCTTTGAATGTGACCTACCCAAGTAAACTTTTAAAATATAAATCAGATCATGTCATTCCTAGGATTAAAATTCTCTTATGGTTCCTGTTTGTTATCTATTGCAAACCATCCCCAAGCTTAGATGCTTAAAACAGCCAATTATTATTTATCATAATTCTGTGGATAAGCAATATAGATTGGGTTTAGCTGGGCAGTTCTTCCATGTGGTCACTTACCATTTAGTAGTTCAGCTGGGGATTTCTTACATAATGGCAGAATTGTTTCAAGAGGTGAAGGTAGAAGCTACAGGAACTCTTGAGGCTGAGGCTTTGGAATTAACATATCGCTTTTGCCATTCTGAGGTCAAAGCTAGCCACAAGTTTAGTCCAGATGGCAGAGCTGGGAAAACAGAGTCCAACGCTTGAAGGGAAACGCTGCAAAATATTGTGTCTTTTTTCCATTTCTCACAGCTTTCCATTGTCCTTAGAATAAAGTTTCATAATACATTTTAAATGAATGTTCAAAAATTTGAAATAAAGTTCAAACTGGCCTTACATAATCTAGGACCTGCCTCTCTATCTGAATTGACCTGTTACCAATCTCTCCTTGGCTCACTAAAAATAAACAGTTGCACTCCGTTTGGGGCCTTCATATTTTCTGTTCCCTCTGCTTGGAATGTTCTTCTCTCAGATCTTTGCAAAGTTCAATTCCATTTTGTAATTTAGTCCAAACGTCAGCTCCTCAAAGACATCTTCTTCTCTGAGCCCTTCTCCCAGTCACGCCTTACCAGCTTACCCTGTTTTATTTTCATATAGCACTTAACAACATCAGAAATTATTTTATTCATCCATTCATTCGTTGTCCATTTTCTTATCAGATATTGGATACTATGAGAGCATGGTCATCAACTTTTTAGGCCATCTCTGTATCCCCAGTGCCTATAATAGTGCCTGACACTGAGTAGATGCTCTGTAATGATTTGTTGAATCAGTTAACATTGCTGTCTTCATCTTTGTAGCTTTTGAAAATCCATATTATCTTAGAAAATAGGACAAGAGTGGGTGGAAATATGAATCTCTGTATACAAAATTGGGATTAAAAAAACCTGTAGGCTCTTTTCCTACAATCAGTATACATTGCCACCAAATGGCAGTAAGTGCCCTGTTGGGCAGTCTATCAGGAAAGATTTTTTATTCCTGAGATTCACATTTTGTTGTTTTCTCAAGTTCATGCTAACAAATGTATAATTAATTAGTAATTACATAATATACTTTGAAAATTGCTGACTTGAAAGAACAATAAACAATAAAGTTGCTTATTCTTTAAAAATCAACACTTAGAGAAACATTTTGTTAACTCCGTATATGTTTGTTATTAATCATCATTAAATCTAAATCCTCCCACATAGCCATATTGATTGAAATGTTCTAATTTGACGGGAATGCCTCGAGGCTGATGTGGGGAGCTGGACCTTCAGGCTAGATTTATATTGCAAAGCTTTGTGGCTTCTCTCAGCTGTTATCTCCAGCCTCATTTAGAGCCTGCTGATGACTTAGTTCCTCCTGGGTTTCAACTCCCTTTTTTCAACAGTAGCTCTTTTACTTCTCTTCCCTAAATCAAAATTAGGAGGAGAGAGAAAAAACACCCATTTCTTTATCCTGAAAGCATGGTTCTGCCTCAGATTCTTTCTAATACAAAGAAAGTAATTTCTACTTCTCCTTAAATAAGAGCCAAATATCTCCCTTCATTCAGTTTTCTCATTGGGAATTCTTTAAACTGCTGATCATGTACAATAGGACTTATCTTAGCGAAACCACAGCAATGGTTTCACAAGAGGCAGCTTATACAAACTGTTTTCATGATAAGAATTCCTCAGAAACTCTTTTTCTAAAGGAAAAGATAAGCTCTTAAGCAGAAAAATGAAGCAACATTTATACAAATCTTCTGACTGGGCCTTTCAGCTTTTCTGCACAGCTCCGCTGAAGAATGCCAGCTCCAGAGGGTGGATCTCATGAGTCAGCAGTAGGGATCCAGCTGTGAATCGTGTTAAGATCTTAAGATCTCCAGGAACAAATCCTTTCCTTGGCTCACACTTCTTCACCAGGCATGTCAGGGATGCAATAAATGCTACGGGGATGATACAGACTCTTGGCATTCCATGGCACAGCTGCTTGATCCAACCTAAAGGATAACTTTTTTCTTCTTTCCATGAGAATAGCCCATTCATATTTTTTGCATATTGCTAACAAAATCCAATCACCCTCAGCTTAAATGTCTTTTAGAATATAAATGCAATCAATACTCATTAAGCCAATGTTTGTGTGTAGTGAATATTCATTGAATGAATGAATGAAAATAGCCACACATGTAGTCCCAGCACTTTGGGAGGCCAAGGTGGGTGGATCACGAGGTCAGGCGATTGAGACCATCATGGCTAACATGGTGAAACCCCGTCTCTACTAAAAATACAAAAAAATTAGCCGGGTGTGGTGGCGGGTCCCAGCTGCTGGGGAGGCTGAGGCAGAAGAATGGCATGAACCTGGGAGGTGGAGCTTACAGTGAGCCGAGATCACACCACTGCACTCCAGCATGGGTGACAGAGCAAGACTCTGTCTCAAAAAAAAGAAAAAGAAAAGAAAATAGCCACACAGAGTTTACAGTCTATAAAGGTGTTAAGTTACATCAGTGTCTTTTGCTCTTTTTGGGTTACATGACCCATATGTTAAAAACAGTAAACAACCCCCTAAAATATATGTGTATTTGCATAGGTTATTCAGATGTATCAATGTTTTATATATGTGAAAATACATACAAAATGTAAATTATAAAGGATAAGATAAAAAAGAAACAATGCTTTTTAAGTAATTGTGTTATTAATGAAAAAATGTTATTCTTACTGAGCTCTTTTTACACATTATTAATATTAGTGAGAACAATGCACTTGAAAATACTTTATGTTTTCAAATCTTGGTTTAGGACTTTGTAGTATACTCATTGGAGGGTCCAGTTCTAAGTTGGGTTTGTTTGCTTGCTTGATTTTAATTTCTATCAGAGGGAAAAAAAGATCCTTCATAGATTCATATGGAAGGCATGCACAATTGGTCTCTCTTACTAAATTATAGTATTCATTATTGCCATGGCCAGGGTCAGGTTCAAGCCCATGCTGAGGTTTGAGGGAGTGCGTAGATGAGCAGAAAGAACACTCAGGGGCCATAGGCAGGTGAAAGATGATTTTATTCAGCAGCAGTTGTCAACAGCTTTCTGACTCTGTCTGTCCTGTCTCAGCTGCTTAGTGGCTCCCCCACACACAGCTGCATGGCTGGCTCTCCCTTGCCTTCAGTGTCAACAACTTAACTCTTTCTCTGGGCACAAGCGAGCTGACCTGTGTCCTGGCCTCTGCTCTGTCTGCAAAGATGGACAGCTCTGACTGTCTCTCTCTTTCTCTGGGCGCCAGTGCACCTGTACAGTGTCAGCAGGGCAATTATACCTTTTACAGACAATAGCGACTTAGAGCCAAAGGATGGCTTTCCTATGTTATGGCTACACGGCTGTGATAACAAGTGGAGTTACACACCTGTGCTCTAAACTCGCTAAGTCACTCTGGATGTTTACCTCGGTCTGTCCTTGACCAAAGCACAGCCATGTTCCTTACAATTATTCAGTCTTATTCACCAATTATGCAAAAGTATTTGTGAAAATTCAGCTAACATTTTCAATATTCTCTGATACCAAATTAGTTTTCGTGCAAAGAAATTAGAAGTTGATGTTTTTACATTTTTAGCAAATGTGTTCAAAATTCACTATGTAAATGACTTAAATATTAGAAAATTCAGTTTCCAAGTTCTTTAGTGTGAAAATAAGAAAGTTTTTGTGGGTGGTGCTTTGTCATATCAACAAAAACTCATCATAATGAAAACATCTGTTTTCACAATGTTCTCTTCACAGCACAAAGCTTTCTGAAGAGCAGTTACTTTCCCATTCATTGTTAAATTGCCACTTTTGCATAAAGAAATAGATTAGATGTATTTATTTATTTCCTGCTGGATAGAATTCTACCAACAACTATATGTCATTATTCAAAAGGTCAGAAATTGGAAAATATGGTATTTTTGTAAAGGTAAAATTAGCAGCACATCTTCATATACGACAGCTCTTTAGGACACGGACACAAGGTGACCGGCAAACCTCTCTGTGAAAATGATTTGCAGGATCCATACCAAATAACCTGAAGATTTTATTATATTGTCAATGATCTTATTTTTATACAATGAATACCAACCCTAACATTTTGTATTTCTTTACGCTCTCACTATTCCAAGAGTAGCTCATGGACCAGCAGTGCCGGATCGCCTGGGAACTTGTTAGAAATGCACAATCCCAGTACAGGCCAGCCCTCATGAATTACAATCTGCATTTTAACAAGATCCCCAGGTGAACCATACGCACTTTCAGGTTTGCGAGTACTGCCCTATGAAATTCTGCCTTCTACTTCTTTGCCACAGTAGCTTGTTAAGGAAAAATGAACTAAATGAATTTCACACATGGGACAACTCTACAGCCTGACTTTGGAATCCTTTTTTTTCTCCAATCAAACCACCTGCTCCACTGGAGGTAATATTCAGTTTTCAAGATGTCATTTTCTGTGGAGAATCTGTTTTCTTTCATGCCTCTTTTTTTTATTGACTCATAAAATCAGTTCTTCTACCGCCATTATGGAAACAGAACCTAGCAATACCATTCATTTAGATAACATCTTTTCATCCCCAAGTCTTAAAACCTCCCACTTTTGTTCCAGACACATTTCTTCTAACTTTTAACAATATTTTCTATGCATCTTTTAATATCATTGGCTGACAAAGTAATTCATTTCTGTGTGCAGCCATATTCTTTTCCACATCTGATTTCAGTTATTTTCACAATAGAAGGAAGAACTAGAAAAAAGATGTGTGGCCTTTTGCTTCCTCTAAGTTAGAAGGCTTAAAAGATCCTTCTTTATTGCAGTTTAGTCGCATTTCTAAAAACACTGGATTGGGTACTACATGACCTAGGCTATTGCTGAGGCAATTGTAGAAGTTTGTATCTGGGTTCTGAATGCTTAAAGTTTTCATGTCCTGCTAGTTATGACAACTTCAGGTACAACGTGCACTTGGGACCATTTAATGATAGTTAATGATAGTGGATATAAATATGTATTTTAAACAGTAATCTTCTTCATCATTTCAATTTTTTTTCCCCTTTAGCTGACTTCTCTGAAGGGATCACATCACCTCACCACTGTGTCACTTTGCAGTGTAGCTGACCAAGAGCTTGTTCTGTGGTGGGCTGCTCATCAGCCCAGCCATTTCCCATTTCCCTGTTGCTTTTGGTCAGTGGCAGATTAGCAGACATGACACAAGAAGGGGCTGCAGATGGGCTTGGGCATTGGAGCTTACTCTCTTGCATCTACACCAACACTGTGAGGAAAACAAGCCTGGGCAAGTCGACCGATCCCAGTACCAGGCCCTGTGTAGCAGATGAGCTGACAGCTGCTGGAGTCCCAGGTAAGCTGACTGCTGTGGAGCCCCAGACAGGTGAGTCCAGCCAAGATCAGTGGAGCTCCTTAGCCAACCCTCAGTTGATTCCAGTGGTGGGAGCATCAACATGTATCGGTGTACTTGCCTGGGTCTTTGTGGCTGTTAACTGGCACTAGGTCTGTTCTCCTGTCCAAGGCCAGCAAATCTTCCAACTGCTGTTTCTTTGCAGGAAACTTTCAAAGTCGTGTGTTCATTTTCTGACAGTTTAGTTAAAATTAGACACTAGATTCCATCAATGCCCCTGACGGGGAATACATCACAACACACTGAATTGAAAGAAGGGGGAGCAACTCACCTAGACCCCTGATATATGTAAGTGCAAGATCCACAGGTGTTAACTACAGACACCTCTGTACACTGAAGGTTTATAATTCGCAGTGCTGTGCTTTAGTGTTTCAGAAGCAAAGGGAAGTATTTAGAGAATGGTTCTGCCTGAAAATAGAGAGGAGGGAGAAGGGCAGGTGATGATAACTTTGGGGAATGTCTGAAGCATATGGGGAAAGCACTTCCCATCACAGAATCAACATTCTGCTCCCTACCTTTGTGGTTTAGCCCTTGAAAACCTGGCTTCATTGATCCACAAGCTCATTTCTTGCCCTTCCAAGTGTAATATGGATATCAGCCAGAGCTGTCTTTTCCTCACTTTTGCAGACACTCCTGTCTCCCCACCCTACTCTTTAAATTAAACTCTTTCACAGCCCAGTAATCTTCTCTCATAAACAAGCTTTGGAGAGAACATTTTTTTTCTTTTGCCCAGGAGCAGATTCCACCAACTTCATTGAGGTGGTGGAGGGCTTTCCCCCTTTCAAGAAAAGCAATAAAGCTGACTTTGCTGTTGTTAAGTTTTATAAGGTGATGCTGACCCTATCATGAAGTGTTCTCATCTAGGCTGACTTTGCTCATTAACCACAGTTGAGTGTTAACCTTTCCGGACATAAATAATACAGCAGCACCTTGATCTGCACGTAAGAGGAGCGAATGGCTAGGCTTTGTCTTTTTCCCTTGGATTCTTACAAACCGCTTTTTCTTCTTGTGTTTGACAAAATGTCAAAACTGTATTTCCCTTTATCTGTGTTAAGATATCTGTGACCTCATGCTGTCTGCCCTTTAACTTTGCAACATGTGGGTGGACTGACCTGATACTGGGCTCAGCCACATGACTTGCTTTGGTTGGTGGGAGATTAGCAGGCATGATACAAGGAGAGGCTGCAGATGGGCTTGGAGATTGGAGCTTGCTCTCTTGCATCTCTGCCACTGCCATGAGAATAAACTAGTCCAGGCAAGTCTACCCATCCCAGGAGGAGGCTGAGGGTCTTGTGGAGCAGATGAGGCTCATCCAGATCAGATAACAGCTGTGGAGTCCTAGACAGGTGAGTATAGCCAAGATCAGTAGAACCAGTTAGCTGACCCTCAGTCGATTCCAGATGTGAGGGCATCAGCACGTATCGGTGTACCTGCCTGGGTTTCTGTGATTGTTTTTTAACTGGCACCAGGTCTGTCCTCCTTACCAAGGTCAGTACCTCTCTCTGCACCCAGGACCCAGGCAAGCCCCCCATCTCACCTTCTCACATATACCCCTCTAATCATCACCCCTTCTTCCTTCCATCTCATGAACCTTTGCCTCTCTATTGGCTAATTCTCATAAGCATTTGAATCACTTCAAGTCTCTTCTATCATTTAGTTTCTAAATAATTGCCTTCTATCCTGTCATTCTCCTCTGGCACTTATTGCCTCCTCTTTCCATGTCCTTCACGTGTGGAATCTTGAAAAAGTTGTTCTTACTCTAAATTTCACATTTTCACCTTCCATTCACTCTGCAACTCACTGCAGCTGTGTTTCCTCTTCCATTGTGCCACTGAAACTGCTTTTACCCAGGCCACCAATGATCTGCTTACCATTGATGATAGTGGATACCTCCAGTCATTCTTTTAAAATTCCTCTTTCATTTTGTATGACCTCTTTGTCGCATTTGACTCTGTTGACAATCCATTTGTTTCCAAAGCCTCTCTTCCCATGGCCCCTCTGGCAACATGCTCTCCTAGGTCTTCTACTCCACTGGTCCTCAGGCTGCCTCATGGGCTCCTCACCCTCATTCCATCCCTTTGATATTGGTTAGTTCCCTAGGGCTCTGTTCTAGGATCTCTTCTCCCCATACCAAGGGTAATTTCATCCAATTTCATTGCCTACATTACCAAGAATAAAATGATAACTCCAAAATCTCTAAGTCCTGCCAGTTCCCTGTCCTGGGCATCAGATACATATATCTAAGTGTTTAATTGGATATCCCAAAGGCAAACATGACATATCTAAAATTTAATTCACCATTGTTTTCCTTAAACTCCCTCTTCCCCTTTTGTTCACTATCTCAGTAAGTGATACCATTTCCCACCCAGTGGTATAACCCAAAATCCCTTTAGCTTCTTTCTTTCCTCCTCTTCCATATTCAACCCATTTCTGTGTCCTAATTTTACATTCCTAGCATATCTTCAGTCTGTTCACTTCTTTCTATCCCATGTCAGATATCTTAGCTCAGGCCACTCATATCCTTTGGCTTATTTGTTGCTTTACCAGACTCCCAACTCGCCCTCCATGTCCACCTCTCCCTGTTCCAATTCATTTCACACACTGCAGCCTACACCATCTGGCATGGTTTGGCTGTGTCTGTACCCATATCTCATCTTGAATTGTAGTTCCTATCACCCCCATGTGTCATGGGAGGGACTGGTGGAGGGTAATTGAATCATAGGGATAGCTACCCCCATGCTGTTCTCATGATAGTGAGTTCTCACAAGATCTGATGGTTTTAAAAGGGCTTTCCCCCCTTTGGCTTGGGACTTCTCCTTGCTGCCATCATGTGAAGAAGGACTTGTTTGCTTCCCCTTCCACCATGATTGTAAGTTTCCTGAGGCCTCCTTAGCCATGCTAAATTGTAAGCCAATTAAACATCTTTCTTTTATAAATTATCCACTCTTGGGTATGTTTTTATTTGCAGTGTGAGAACAGACTAATACACCATCTTTCTAAAATGGATATCTGATCACATCATTCCCCTGCTTAGAACCTTTTAAGGGTTTTCCATTTTCAAGAATCATACAAGGTTCTTTGTGATCTGGATCCCTGCTTACTTCTCCAGGTTTTACCTCTTGATATTCCCTTCCTTGAACTAGTGGAAGCCATAAATAGCTACTTGGAAGTTGCTGAAGGACACCCCATTTTCTCTCTTCTTGCAGATTTTTATACCTCTAGCTCTATCTGCCTGGAACAACCCACACCCCATGCTTGCCCTAGCAGGTCAGGTAGGAACCGTTCCTGTAACCACCACATGCACTGGCACAATACACCCTGCCTCCCTTTCCACTTATTCCATCCCTTTGCACTCAGTGGCCTCTTTCCTAGTCTATCATCTATGTGTAAGGTCCTTGAGATAGGGATTGTGCCTTGGTTATCACTGTATTCTCAGGAGCTACCACATTTGGGAACATAGTAGGTGCTCAATAAACACTGGTTAACTGAGTGACTGAGAAAGGTAAGTACATTAACGAATATGCACATGAACCATAGACTTCTCACCTGAAAGCTTCTCTACTTTGTATACTGTAGAGCTAAGACCTTTTAGTTTCTCAAAGATTTCCTCCTCTTGCTTATCATCTACAAATGAATTTTGTCCTAACTTTATTGGCACTATCTTTAGGTCCTATAAAAATGTCTTCAATTCCTTTTACTAGCTATCTCAGAATAATAAGCTTCTCAAGTTTCCCCTCTCTCTAATGACCGCCATATGGGGACATGATACGCTAATGCTCACTTCAATAAGCTGAAGTTATTGTTAAACAAACTGAACTACCTCCAGCTCACCTCCCATTTTAAAGGGCCCACTAAAATTGATTATGTGAAATAGGCTTTTAAAAAATATCCTCCTTAAGTAGAAAATATAAACAGAGGAGGACTGTTAGCTCAGAAAATGTAAACCTATTTGGAGACCCAGTTTATTTAACTTGACTGAACAGGAGGTAATAGTGCCCATTGGCACAGTGCAGTCTGAACCTGTTTTTATCCACATTAATGGATTCAGAATTATCAAAGATTCTGATTTAAAAAAATGGCTGCAGCTTCAGCTTTGAATATCTTTGGGAGTGACTCACCTATGACATGGCACATTCATATGTCTATGTGATGGAGGTAACAGTGCACACAACCACTGTAGCGTGAAATGTTTTGTTTGTTTGTGCCATGTTTCCTCAATACTAATAAACCAGAGTATCACAATTCTACATCTAAAGACTTATTTATGACTGCATAAAAGCTGTTGCTATCACAAGGATTATATCAATTTATACATACAAGACACAGACAGATACACACATATTTATATAATATTTATCATGTGAGCCTTCTGTGTACTATCTTCTAAGGCTATAAACAGCCTTAGACTGTAACAGTAAACAGCCTTAGACTGAGCATTTTTCTACATCCCCATTTGGGGTCATTTTAGGAAATGAGAGACCTGGGATCATAATCAAAAAAGAATCCAAGGCTGCATGCAATTCAGTTTCAAAATGAAGAAGACAGCTCTGATTCTCTAGCTTTTGTTTATGGACTTCTTGAACTGTGGTCACTCAGCCAGATGGCTTCCTTGAACCTCGTTCACTGTGTACACTGTCAGGATGAAATGCACTTTCTGAGGCCTGAAAACACAACCCAGACAGGGAATGCAGACAGACCGGCAGAGTAACATGGCATCAGAGATTGCTGAAAGGATGGTGGGGGGCTCACAGCAAATACAGCCCCAGGCAAGGTATCTGGAGGACAACCCAGGTGAGCTTCTACTGGTGATTTGGGGCCAGAAGCTGTCAATTGTTTTTGAAAGTTTTGATAGGTTTTTTTGTGCCAGTTCTCTATTTTTTTTCTTTAAACAGAGAAACTAAACTATTGTGGTGTCAATAGGGTGAATCAAAGCTGTAGAAAAG